TTTGTCCAATTATTGAAAATCAAACAGAAAAATCTATGACTTTCTTAAACCCACGGCTGATATAAAAATATTTTAGTGGGTAAATTGATATTACATACCTAATTTTCATGTAGACATTATATACAAACAATTATTAAATAATATTGTCACCTATTAACTAATGAAAATAAATAAGATTAGTCAATAGGGGCTGCTATTCTGAGGAAAAAAGTGAAAGTGAAAACTGTGCCACTTTAAAAGTCTGGCTATAAAAATAAATACTTTTAACTTTATTGATTTCTCAATTTCGCGTATTAACGTTTATTTTGGCATAAATGCAAGCTCCTACCTGTCCGTAAACCTCTGGCTGCATTTTGGTTGGCTGAAATCTTTGTGAATCAGCCATATCCGACTGACCAATATAGCAATTAAGCAGCATGACCAATCATATCCAGGCAGTAAGCTTATCAGCATGTCTGAAAGTGAAGGAATAAATACCCCATAAAAAATAAGCTGGCCCATGCCAAGGTTTAGGTTATATGCTAGAAATTGGTGGACCCTCAAACACAATCTATAGCTGCTCCCTCTCTCTTTCTTCAGACTCAGTAGGTAGGTACTACCTAGCTCTGTCGCTGGTTTATAGAATTCTTTTGTGAAAAGCTTAGTTTATGTCAAGTCCTCAAATCAACGAAATATCTGATGAAAGTGGCCGATTCAGCTGTCTTACTTTCGATTCATATCCTGACCATAGGCTTTCCACTCAGTCTACGTGTTCAGTAATCTTAGCGGGGGCCACTGGAGACAGAAGTCACAGTTGGATGCGCTCTGTGTCGCCACGATACTTTGGCCACTCAGGCTTGACAAATAGACAAAAGGAGCTTTCAGTCGCGGTGACATCTGTGAAAGATCCAACCGGAACTGAAGGAGTAAACTCCTGGCCACGCTTTCCCACATTTTTATGTGATGGGCAGCGACGAGCTGGCGGAATATTTAAAATCCCTACATGGCCAGCTGAAAACATCTCGATGACTCGTCGACATACTATTATTGCATTTCCAACCGGTCGAAAAACGTAAGTCATATTAATTTAATCTCAGCATAGGCTAAACCATT